GGTCCGCGCGCCCAGGTGCAGCTCCAGCTCCGGCATTTCCTTCCTGTGTGACCTCAGAGGACTCCTCTCCGTCCTCTCTGAACCTCAGTTTCTTTCCTTTCTTCCCTTCCTTCTTTCCTTCCTTCCTTTCTTTTGAGACAGGGTCTCAGTCTGTCAGCCAGGCTGGAGGGCAGCGGTGCAGCCTCAGCTCACTGCAGCCTCGACTTTCCGGGAAGCCTCCAGTGATCCTCCCACCTCAGCCTCCCCAGTAGCTGGGACTACAGGTGTGCACCACCACACCTGGGTAATTTTTGTATTTTTGGTAGAGATGGGGTCTCACTATGAGACCCAGGCTGGTCTCCAACTCCTGGGCTCAAGTGATCTGCCCACCTCAGCCTCTCAAAGTGCTGGAATTACAGGAGTTGTGACAGAAATTGTCTGGCCTGAAAACTGAAAATATGTACTATCTGGGTTTTCTTTTCTTTCTTTCTTTTTTTTTTTTTTTTGAGACAGAGTCTTGCTCTGTTGTCCAAGCTGGAGTGCAGTGGCGTGATCTCGGCTCACTGCAACTTCTGCCTTCCGGATTCAAGCAATTCTCCTGCCTCAGCCTCCTGAGTAGCTGGGATTAACAGGCATGCGCCACCATGCCTGGCTAATTTTTATATTTTTAGTAGAGATGGGGTTTCACCATGTTGGCCAGGCTGGTCTCAAACACCTGACCTCAGGTGATCCACCCACCTCGGCCTCCCAAAGTGCTGGGATTACAGGTGTGAGTCACTGTGTCCAGCCCTCCTATCTTACTTTTTACAGAAAACATTTGTTCATCTTTGCCTTATAGTCTAGCATGTAGTGGTTATTATTAATTATTACTGTTATTATTCCCGAACCTTTCTCTTGAGCTGCACAGACTGCCAAAGTAGGGGAAGCAGCGTCAGCCTTTCCTTTGTTGTCTTCTGGTTCAATAAAGATGTATCTTCCATGCACCTGGTCCCTGCCTGCAGGGAGCTCCGTGTCTAGGATGGGGAGATAGTCCACTGTAACAGAGGAAATTGGGGCACCCAGAGGAAACACGGGACACAGCTGGGAGTGGGGAGGTGTCCAGGAAGGCGTCCTGGGGGAGGGGGCATCTGGGCTGGAAGATGAGGAGGGTTTAGCCAGGAAGCCAATCCTTGTGGCAATGGCACGTGGAAGAAGGAAGAGCTAGACTTCAGTTTGAAAAATATGTGTCCTGGTCAGGAGTGGTGGCTCACGCCTATAATCCCAGCACTTTGGGAAGCTGAGGTGGGCAGATCGCTTGAGCTCAGAAGTTGGAGAACAGCCTGGACAACATGGCGAAACCCTGTCTCTACAATAAATACAAAAATTAGCCGGGTGTGGTGGCGTGTGCCTGTAGTCCCAGCCACTTGAAGTCTGACATGGGAGGATGGCTTGAGCCCAGGGGTGGAGGTTGCAGTGAGCTGAGATTGTGCCACTGCCCTCCAGCCTGGCAACAGAG